GAAAGGACGATGCTCGGGGTTTCCCTAACCGCGCAAGTGCAGAAGGGAATCCGGAGCTCCGAGCTCCGTCAACGGACGAAGATCAGGGATGCCGTTGACTACGCCAAGAAACTGAAGATCAGGAGGGCAGGACGCGTAGTGCGATATAGTGATGACCATTGGACCAGGGCGGTTACTGACTGGATCCCTCGGGTCATCAAAAGAACTTAAGAAAGGCTGCCAACGAGATGGTCAGATTTCTTCACGAAAGCTCTGAATGAAAGGAATGTTGAAGCTCGTATCCCTGAAGCGAGGACGATTCAATGGACCACTCTGGCTCGTGACAGGGACGAATGGAGACGTTACTGGCGCCCGCTCGAGGAAGTCGATGATCAACGGTACGACAGGTGATACAGGTGATTTCGAAAGGAGAGTCATTTTGATTGTTTTTTGTATGAACTCAAGTTGTTCTATATGTTCTTATCGTTTACCTCGACTAAGATTTTTAATTAGTCGTGTGTTTTATGATACCGTAGCAATAATATGTATCTTTTGTAATGCCACTACAAGTAAAGAGCAATTTTATTGCAAATACCAAAATATCTAGCACAAATCACTTCAAAGATTCACTGATCAGAGCCATCCACCAGGCCCTGCAAAAGGAGGTCCTCCAGATCCAACATGAGGAAATCCTTCAGGTCCTCCAAACGAATATCCTCCTCGTCCTCCAGGGAATGGTAATTTAGGTCCTTCAAATGGATATCCTCTTTGTCCTTCGGAGGAATGTCCTCCACGTCCTTGGAATGAATACCCTCCTTGTGCAAACGGATATCCCCTTCGTCCTCCAGGAAATTGTCCTCTGGATCCTTGGGACGAATATCCTCCTTGTCCTCCGGCGTAAGGTCTATCAGGTCCTCGGAACGGATACCCTCCTCGGCAGCTGGAAACGGTCCTTCAGGTCCTTGGAACGGAATTCCTCCTCGTCCTCCAGGGAAGGGTTCTCCAGCTGCGCCATACGGATTTTGCCACTGTACACCGAATCCTCCGTTGGAAAATACTCCTTGTCCTCCAGGAGCCAAATAGGTTCCTTTCTTGTCCTCCTGCACTAGGTCTACCAGGTTGTCCATTTGGAGATGCTCCTGGTTGTCCGCCACCATTCTTGACACCTCTTACACCGAGTTCTCCAAAAAACGGTTGATCTGGCACCTCAGGTGGTCCTTGTGGAGGAGGAGCTGTCTCACCAGCTGCCGCATCTATCCTCTAGAATAAAAATCATTACCAACAAAATCGATCTAATCATTTTGTAATACTTCCTGTGAATACTGTAATAGGCTTTATTTTCATCAGCAATATTTTCTATTGATAATTCTACATTTTTCATATATAATATAGTCTGTATGCCAGAAAAATCTCAACGGAAACGTCGTTAGTGACGTAACAGCAGTCAAGATAAGGAATAAATTCATCTGAAAAATTNGTTCAGATTGAATCAGAAAGTCCCTCGTGAAGATCTGATGAAGGGAAAGCGAAATGATGGACTGCTACTAATGCCACCATTGGGCCTTTTATACTGACATCCTGAAATCAAATAATGACATCAACATCGTTTTCCTTTTTGACAATGTTCAAACAATTTGCAGTCTCTGGAGCTTTTGGTTTAGTTCTTCATTCATCACTATTTGAGCAGCCAGAATCACTTTTGGAGTAATATTTTTCCATTTCACAGATCGCGAACATTGTTCTATTTGCATTCATTTTCATAATAACATCGGAGGACTTTGCATATATGGCCAATACAAAGAGTTTGCCAGCAATGAAGATTCGAGAAGTTCCCACTACTAGGTCTTTTACTTGGTCAAGCTAATTCCTTTCCTATACCACTACAGTCCGGAGTTTCGAGATCCGTCAGCGAACGAAGATTTGGAATGCCGTTGCTTGCGCCAAAAATTCAATACTAGGGAGACTGAGAAGATTTTTAATACTGTTATGGCCGTTGGGCTTAAGCGGTTAGTCACTGTATCCCTCAATTCTTCGAAGGAACTCCAAGCTGCTTGCTCGGTGGTTAGACATTTTCTTCAAAGCTCTAAACGGGAAGACTTCTATGCCCACCGGTTCCCTCTAGTGAGCGCGATCCACTAGACTGTTCTGGATCGCGACAGAAGTAAGTGAAAACGTTACCTTCTCCCGCTTGATGAAATCAAGGACCGGCGATTATGTGACTAGTCTCAAGGGAATCCCAATAGTTATAGGTTGTTCAGAGGTGGTGTTCCTGTTAGCTGCTGTTAATTCGCCGCAGTATGCGATCTAAAACTTCTATAAGGTTGGCGAGTTAAGGACGAAGCTTTGGCTTCGGACAGATCCGGAAGCCGGGCTCGTACCCTTGTGGTTTTGTGAAACTGTGATCAAGCTTCCTCCTCACTCTTCATGCAGAAAAATCTCTAAACTCATTTTTTAGCGTTTCTTGCTTAGAATGGTGGTCCTGTCCGAACAGTCAGTAACAATACAAAGTCAGTCGTAACAATAACAGTCAGTTCTGAATGATCTAGACCACCACGGCACTACGACTCTTACACTTACAGTTTACCCTATATCTACGTTAGCTCACGTGGGGCCGGTATCTCCTACCAAGAACGGCGTCGCACTCCTCGCACCCGATCGCGCGCACTCTCGCGCTGTAAAGGGAGAGATTTAAATTCACAGTGAAAGTATAGGGTAGCCGCCGCGTAACCTTTGCCGCTTGTCGAGGGAATTCGGGAAGAAGTTCCATCACCCTGCCCACGAGTATCTCCAAGCATCTTTGGAAAAGCTGGCCGCTGGATGGATCTCTCGTACAACCTTCGTGGTTACCCGGCGTCTTTCTACGTACCTGTCCATAGGCCGGGTGTTTATTCGTGCGCTGTTCCTTGCCACGGTGATGGTGGCTTGACTGCAATCCTTGCTATGACGTCGCACATGCAACTAGGAGTTAATGATGTCACAGAGACAGTTGAATGAGTCACGATGTTCGAAGGACAACCTCTCAAAGGAGAACCAGTAATCGAGGACGCTGTATTGTCCTTAGAGTATCCCCTCATAGCTAGCTTATTGAAGTGCTGATCACGCTTGACTAAGACGTAGCTAGCGCAACTGATGGAACGCTTTATTAAAGTCGTACGAAATCACTGCAGGGTACAATTACGACGACATTTTGGTAAAAGCAAGCGGCAGTCTTATTCGACACAGAGCAAGTAGCCGGGTAGCAGGGAGATGATGCGTATGAGAAGGTGCATAGCTAAGAGAAAAGGACGAAAGTGAAACGAGAAGTGACTCAAGTTAGCATCGACTTAGGAGAAATCTTGCACTTTCCGACCGACCATCTATTTGGTAATAGTTGATGGTAGTGATTAAAGAAGGTATACTAATACCAGAATTACCCGTCAACACGGAATCAAGTCGGGCAAGTGGTCTACATGAAACATTCACTTACAGGGGAAGGATACCAGGTTGCAAAGGTGAGATGAGATGTAATACAACTCAAACAAAGTTACCAAAGTATTCCTTTTGTGGTGGAAGATTGTTTTGAAAATATGAGCACGTCGAGACTTCGGTAGGGGTGCGATGCTATGGCGCGGTTGGCAGTGAATGAACTCACAAGTGTGGCATGACTGTTTGTATCGTGCTTACCTTGCATTGTTCGGAAAAGATGGCTGAACTCGTGTCGAAGGGTCAGGACGGATGGATCGAAGCGCTTACTACTGTAGTGAGTGCCCTTATACATTGAGCTTTGCAACGATATACCAAAGGGCCAGGACGATTTTCTACTCGTGAAGAGAGCCACTTTCTGAAAAAAAAACTCGTCTTCTCGGACATTACACAAGCAAAAAGAGAGGCTATCTACCCAAACCCTAGACAAATTGAGCAATATTTCGAGAAATGTGCCGTACTTCAACTCCAAAGGATCGAAAGCGGACCATTCTGAGGACAGAACAGGCAAAAAAATACTGCTCCATGGAGAAGGAAGTGTCTGTGGTTGACTGTATTGCAATAATTTACCATGTGCATCAATAAAAAGGAAAAGAGATTCGTGCATCAAGATCACAAACTCCGTGCCTGTGAGCCATAACACTGCTAACTGCAACATCGCTTCACACCGTTGAGAGTGGCTCGTTGAACCGGCTTTCATATCACTCAAAGAAATCGATCATGTCTTTCTATCGCGGAGAAACTACTTTCGTAACTTTGATTTGGGATGTTTCGCAGAATTAAAGTGTTTGTTCAATCAGGGTTCTGAAACACATTCCACGTATTTCCATTTTTCCATGCACCAAATCTTTAGCGGCTCGTCTGCAACCTAGTCCCTTCTCTTATTAGTCATCTTTATGAGTTCTACCATTGTATGGCCCGAAATTTACTGCTCGACGAAGTATCACGTCGGGGTCTCCGCCTTTTTTTAATTAATATTTGTAAAATAATATGTAACTAGTGGTCTAACAACACGTCTGCGTGCCAGAACGGCTAAGAGTAAGCCAAATCTGCTTTCTGTGAGCCAGAGCATACATATATAACCNTATAGGGTTGCCGACGCGTGACCTTTGCCGCTTGTCGAGGGAATTCGGGAAGAAGTTCCATCACCCTG